TGCACAGATACTCATTTCAATTTTTTTTTATTGTTGTCGCAATTTAGAAATCTAAGACTGCCTTTGTCCCCTACATTGGTTTGCATGAGATAATGTTTCAGGCTAAAGCTTGACTCATTATTTATATGGCAGGCTCGAACTGGATCCAAGCTTGGAAAGGGGAACTCCAGCTATGGCTTGTGATGCTCATAATATGATTGCAATAAAATGTGCCCAAGCTGATTAAATCTCAAGATTGGGGATTGTTAAACATGAGCAATTCTTATTCATGATTTCAGTTAACATATATAATGTCAATATATATGAAACATATAAACATTTGAATTTAATCTCATAAACTTGCAATGTGGTGGCTTACTGGAGTTAAACTAGCATCTCATTTGTTTACAACCCATTGGATTAGGATTTACTGAAAAATCACATTTCTTCATGGCAATTAATGTTCCAGTGAGATTACCCATCAAATACGTAATTTCATCTAGACACTATTTTTTTGTATTGTGTTTGCATAGTGCTAAAGTAATATGCTTCTGTTTGCTTGATATGTACACTACAAATACATATCAAACATTATTGATATGGCTAACCCGACTGGTATATTAGTTCAGATGACTGGAATTTGAATTTTTGACGTTTCTTGTCTTCCATAGGGTTCAAGTGTTCCCTTAGTTGTTAAATGGGCTGATACTGAAAAGGAAAGGCAAGCTCGAAGAGCTCAGAAAGCACAGTCCCAAGCTTCTAATGTACCACATACCGATTCCCAGCATCCGTCATTGTTTGGAGCCTTGCCTATGAGTTACGTTCCTCCATATAATGGATATGGTTATCAGGTTAGTTCTAACAAGACTATTTTCTGGCATATATTTTTAATCTTTGTAATTTATTATGTCTTCTAATATGAAAGAAACCATCAGATATGTGTATTATTGTTAGTTTCCATGCCTAATATCTTGATTGGATGTGTGAGATGATAATCATTTTCTCTCAATAGGCTCCTGGAGGTTATGGGATCATGCCCTACCGAATGCCACCGATGCAGAGTCAACACGGTTTCCATAATATGATGCCTCACATGAATCAAGCAAATGCATTACGGCCTGATCTTGGCCCTAATATGAACCCCAGAAATTATCATGTGCCTCCTGGAAATTACGTTGGTTCTTACCCTGCTGTAACAGGTTTACAACATCCTATGCCATATCCTACAGGAATGATTAGTCCAAGGCCCATGAATACTTCTTCTGGTTCTGTTTCACCTGCTAGTGGAAATAACAACTCTGCTGCATCTTCAGGCGGCAACAAAAATTCCGGGGGTCAAGTTGAAGGTTGTTATCTATATCTTATTTGTGCTTTGGTATTAAATTGTCGTGTTCATTTTTATGTTGCTTTCATGTTTATTTAATAAGGAAAAGTTACTTTGATAACCATATTTCTACTTATTATTCTATTTTCTGCCTTAGGACCACCTGGCGCGAACCTATTTATTTATCACATACCTCAAGAGTTTGGAGATCAAGAGCTTGCTAATGCTTTTCAACCTTTTGGTATAGTTTTGAGTGCTAAAGTTTTTGTTGATAAAGCAACTGGTGTTAGCAAATGTTTTGGTAAGCTTATGCTCCTTAAAATAAATTTGATGGTTTTGTTGATCTTGTGTTTGATCAGCTCGAATTTGCAGGGTTTGTAAGTTATGATTCCCCAGAGGCTGCTCAATCTGCCATCAATATGATGAATGGATTCCAATTAGGAGGTAAGAAGTTAAAGGTCCAACTTAAGAGGGATAACAAACAGGGTAAACCTTACTGATGAAGCTGAACAATGGAATTTTGTACAATTCAGATTGTAATTCATGACCCATCTGATGTTAATACAATTTGTAATTTTCTGTAACATGAAAGTTCAATTAGACATTGATTATTAATTTATTGATTTTTCTCAACGCCTCTTAATTGTATTATTATCCTTTGTAGTTTCTTCCAATTCTATGTCCAGGATGAGAGGATGACGTTTTTATCTCTCTTACAGTATCCATGATTTTCGGATTTAATCTTATTTTCTGTATACAATTGTACATGTAATAAGGAAATTTTGTTTAGCCAGCCACTGCCAGCAACATAATCTATTCTCTAAGTAACACATTTAAATAAAAGGATTAGTGGTGGCAATGGATACAGAAATGAATTCAGGATGGAACTTTCTTTGTATATATTTCTATTCTGTACGTTTTAAAAAAAAAAATGAAAGTGGTTTACAATTATGCTTATAATCAAAGTAAATTTGGAAAAGATGATAAATTAAGATCTAAAAGTATTATTAGAAGAGAAATATTTGGTTGGCAAATCAAACTTTCATTTAATAATTCATTCTATTACTATAATAATATTTTATTAATTTTTTTTAGGTTATATTTTAGATATATGGATTGTAAAAAAAAAATCACTCTTCTTATTAGAGTTATAAAAACATTAATGGTTAAAATAGGTAGACTTTCTGAAAAAATATTGTAAAATAATACATTAGTGCGCATATATTTCAATTTAATATATAAGATGCTTACATCCTAAAACTTTGGAAATTTAAGGTTTTTAGGGTCCAAGATGCAAATGAACGTAGACTTACTTAAATGCAGCCCAAAAAAGTCTGTGATGAAGAATTTTTAGAATCATTTATTATTTATATGAACTTTATGAGAATCTTGCAATACAGAGGGCACGTCCAAATTATTTAGTGAAATGCATATTAAATTTACCTAATAACAAAATAAAAAAATAGACGAACTTCATGTTATGCACTAATAATATGCAACTATAAATCACTACTTGTGTTTCATTTGCTGAATTTAATTGTAAATCCTTTAAAAATTATATCTACAGTTATCTCTAATTAATTTAACACAACTTCTTCAAATATAACCTATTGATCCATATGAATTAGTTTTTTTTTTTCCATCATTGTGTGAGTAGGTTGAGTATTTTAAAGAAGTAAATTTTGATAGAGTTGGGAAAGTACATATTTGTAAATTAGACAAAGACTAATTTCTCTTTTGTGAAAAAAACAAAAAAATTGAATCCTAAGAAGGAGAATTGATGTCTATTCAACAAGGTTAAAGTAAGGTTAAAGTAAGCTCAAAGATAAAATAAGTTGTTATTAGATTTTAGTTCAGATCCAAGTCAATTGTGATAGTAATATGATCAACATAATAGTGATATAAAATTTTATTAATGTATTTCGTGATGAAATCCTAATACCACCTCCTAAGAAAGAGGTAGCATTTCCTATTGATTTAATGCTAGGGATAATAATAATATCAATTACCAACAATGAATAAGTTAATAATTTAGTAAATATCCACGAATTTTTTTTTTTAACAATCGATGATGAGTAATTGGAACACGTTATATATTAACCCGAAAGATTTTAAGGAATTAATCGTTAAAGGTGAATATAATATTTTAGTAGAAACATTATAAAATAATTATAAAGATTAAAAACTTTATAAGTTTGTTTGATTCTTTACTTGTTTTTACTATTTATTATAATAAGCATATTATACATTAATCATTGTAAGCATAAATAAACGATGAGGAACACCATATCAGGTTTTAGTGATGGCAGTGACAATTGCCCACACGCTTCATAGATGATGTATGCTGGCTGCCAAGTGCTTAACAAAAGTCAAGCATTCTGATTATCATAACTTTCCTTTTTCTCTTCCTTTCTCTTTTCTTTTGATAAACTAGACGCCACCTAAGAACCTTTCTCCCATTTTCTTTCATTTTTTTTTCCAACTAGTCTAATGAAGATGTTTGTATATCTCTGTAAGAAACTGAAAGTAACACATCTGATACAAGCATGACAAAGCCAAACTTACTCACACGCGTGGAACAACACAACGGTGATGATTTCCTTTGAATATTAGGACTTTATTCAACACTTTTAACTTGGGTCAAGTTCTATTGTTTCAGTGACGTGAATCACAGGGTGTCTTTCTTTTACCTTCATTTGATTTTGGTGTATGATTTTACTCACCTACCCCGTTCTCTTCTTTCGTGGCAACGTGTCAACACTCATCAAATGTTTTTCTAAGTTGTCTGCTACAAGTTCCATGCAGTCTATGCTGCTAACAACGCGTTCTCATATGCATTATTATCAAACACGGAATTGTTCAAATTATGACAGCAACATAAATCATCGTACCAACCTACGGTTGGAGAATGTCGCAAATAATTTTATTTTTGCGTCATTAATCATAGCTTAGTCTTAAACTTCAACTAACAATCTCTAAAATTCATTCTCTAAAAGAATAATACCAAGACTATGAAAATGCAGCAGATTTTTATCTGAGCAAGAGTGTTGTCGATTTACTGTTACATTAGCCAATAAGAGAAACAAAAACTGCATACACACCTCGCATATGCTGAACATAGACTTAACGTAGGTTACACTCCCTTTTTAGCTTATCAAAATTTCAAACACCTAGGAATAAAATAAAATAATTTTATGAAAAAGTTCACACATAGATCTGACTTGACTAGAGCCATGAATTTTGACACGTAGGGGCAAATAGAGTCAAAGGCTATCTTGGAGGGTTTAAGATCTTTTATACTAAAAATTGAAAAAACGTGGCTATTATTAATTAAAATAGTTCCCAGTTATGTTTCATTGGGTTCAATTTCTTCTAGAAGAGTGTTGGAACATGTCCCTATTGCTATTGGACTAGCTAGTTGCTATCCTCTAGAAGACCATGACAAATCTGAGGCAAATCCTTCTCCATTAGTAATGACAATTGACTAGTTCCATATGTTAAGGCCAAGTGTTAGAAAGATTGCTCCATCAGTGTCACAAAAAGTATCAAACAAGACACCACAAGTTTCTCTTTCAATCTAACTATTATTTGAGTGGCTTGGAGATGCTCTTGTCCTGTGTTGGGTGCAACAGTTGCAGAGTTTCAACACATCAAACGCAAACCTTGTCTCTTGTTAATTAATACAAGGTCGATGGACATGAAGAACCCTTTTGATGTATCTTCTTATATGCTTCTTGAGGCCAGTGGTGACTCTGAAAATGATTGTAACCCCACCATGGGAGAACATGAAATTGGCAGAGAAGATGATGATGCTCAATCTTGCATCTACGATAGTTCTGAGACATCTAATGCTGCTGAACTCAATGGTTTTTGGAATAATGATCATGATGCAGATGAGGTTGAAGATGAGAAGAAATGTGAGTTTCATGGAACATCATATTGTGATGATGATGATGAGATGCAAGAACACCAGAAGTCCTGTGTGTCTGATGAGTCAAGCCAAGAATTGGTGGATGAGATGGAAAAGAACAGGAGATTCTGGGAAGCTTGTTTGGCATCTTGATTATGTTTGAGGGAATTTCCTTTTCAGAATCACACTGATCTGGCTCCAAGAACATTCATACAATCATATATAGGGGATTAGCTTCACCAGCATTTATTCCTTTTTTAGCTATATGGGGTCTCTTAAACTTATCTAAATGATAAAAAAAAGCTTTCAATTGTATGTATCTATGCCTAAACTGATTTGTTCACAGTTGCCCACCACACTTACTTGTATAATCCTTGATCCTTTCATTTCATGTTTTTCACCAATGACGTACCTTTTTCTCACTATAGCTTAATATGCAGCATACTCTTGTAGCAATCTTGTTACAGAATTTTCTGATTCAGTTATCTTTGAAATTCAGATGATCACATACCATGGTTAAGGAGATTCAGGGAAATTCGGTTCTGTGAACCACTCTTTCAGAGTTTCAGCTGCGAAAGCATGGTACATGGCTTCAGCAGGCTTGATGAACAGGGTTTAGTTCAGGCCCACCGATTGAAAATTATCCCATTTTGATGAATTTCTGAAGTTTTTAGTGAATAATAATTGCAATGCAGCATGTGATCTTTTGAATAATTGAACGCCAATTACGGTCCAACCGAGTCAAGTATTTTATTAGAGTACTGGGTATTATATTGAGCATTCAAATTTCAGACATTTTCAAATAATATTTTTGTAAAGTTTCATACTTTTTTTTGGTCAAGTTGGTGGACCTTCATAAATTGGGAATAATAATTTCAACATAACATGTCATCTTCTGAATAATTGAAAATCAATTGCTGTCCAACTCACAGTTTAGCACTATAATATTATTTTTACCTGCTATGATGTAATATTCAAATTTGTAAGAAATTCTTTTTTGTTTTAGTATGACATTGGTGTATATTTTTCCTTTATTCATTTTTCTTTTCTATGTTGTAACCGTTAAGAAATAAATATTTTTCTTAATTATAATAAAATGGTTAAAAAAAATCCTATTTTATCTTTTTTTTTTTAATTTCAATTTCATAATAAATTATAAGTGTAGATTAATTAAAGTTTACGAGGAAAGTAATAATATAATTTACAAAAGAATAATTATTATCTTGAGATTTTTAAAACTATAAATACACAAAACAAAAATCTTCTAAAAATATGATAATTAAAGCGAAACAGTAGGAGTATAACCTTTAAGAAATTATTTGGAGGTTAAGAACTTAACTTTCGTTAATATGCAATTAAATATTTTTTTTTTAATTTAAAAACTTAAATTTATGTCACTTTAAAATTATTTTGGACCGTAGAATAGGTGATGGTCCACTACCACTTAATATTTTGTCAACTTATCATTTATGATATGATAATAATGTAAAAAAAAAAATCATTTAAGTGATTTTTTTTTTAAATATTTATCGGAAGTCTTTCACGTATGATATATTGGATCATGCATTTAATTTCTGTTGAAACTAAATAAATCATCTATATATATAATAGAGGAATTTATTAAAATTTTATTTCTTGAGTCTATATATTAAATTAAATTATATACAAAGTTCTTAAATAAATTAATAATATCTTTAAATTTAAATGATTTAATAATTTGAAACATAAATAGTAAAATTCAAACAATATTAAATTATTATTCTTAAATATATATTTATAATATGAATTAATCCTATAGTGTGTTTGTAATGTGTGATATCGTAGATTTTTATATAGAATATTAATATTTTCATACCGGCACTTTTAAATTCTTATATTATTATTTATCTATTTATTTTATTCTTTTTCATCAATCAACTAAAAATATAATATTTTAAGGTTATACATAAGATCTTGTAAACACTGCTTCTCTATTTCCTTCCATATATGCGGTCTTTGCCTTAACCCTTCCCATATATGCTGTTTTTGCCTTAAAAAGAGAGGTGATGATATAGTGTAAGACTCTAATATTGATACTATTGTGAAAGGAATTCAACATTTAACTACCAGTAATGTTACATTACCATCAAATTTTGATCATGCACGATACAAACAAAGCAAGCACCATTTCTTGCCGAACCAATCACCCTATTCCCTAACAAATCATCAATGCATTCAACACTACTACATGTTTGAAATTGAAAATACACTTTGCTACCCCTTAGATACACTGAGACAGAGAGAATCAGAATCAGAATGAGGTCACATTCAGCCCTAAACTGAACATAACCCCTGCCCACATTCTACAACAACAAACACTTCCTACACCCGTGTGCCAATTAATTTACACAAGCAACCCTGCTTGTAGGGACAAAATCTAAGACAAGGTACTTAAACACTGCTTAAAAGTTAAAATACACTCTCTTAGCTAGATGCAAACAGTGGAACTAGTGAAACAGAATCTGTAAATTTATCAATCATCTCCACATCGTTGCTTGTGCTTCCCATTGATGAACTACCTGTGTCAGCATTTGATTCCTCCGCAGTAAGAGTTGTTCTTGAGTCATCTTCAGAAGAGGAACTTGAGCAAGAATTCTCAGTTTTGATATCAGTTAATGATAAAGCAGATTCCAAGTTATAGCCAGTGCAACTCTTGTGGCTCTCTAACTTCTCTTGCAAATACCCTACAGGTTCTTCTGAGAATCTTTTTGTTTTCTCATCCAAACGTTTCAAGAAGCATTCCACTATCTCACTCACTGATGCTGCATCAGCCTCCCCATGCTCTTCACTGGCAGGACTGTAGTTAACATCATTATCATTATCTTCATAGTCTTCAGACTTGGTCTCCCTCAATTCGCCACTGGTATCCATTTCTTGCTGACTATCATAGTCATCCTCAGATTGGCGATCAGATGAACGAGATGACATGGGCGAATATTCTCCTCCGGCTGTTTCTTCACGTTCTCTAAGTGTCTTCAGTATGAGGGTCTTCAGTAAATTCATCACTTGGACCGCATGCATCAGAGCAGTTAACGGATCAGACATCTGTTTCAGGAGACAAAAGTTAAAAATGTGAATTTTGAATACTAGACTTTCAGTTTGCATAGTTATCATCATGTATACAATGCTAATGCTAACAACATGAATTACTTTGTTAAGAATGAATGACTAGTTAATTATAAAAATTAATGATTTAGTGTTTGAAATGAAAAGTAGTATGGAAACACGCCTGAGTCATATTTGGAGCAAAAACCATTGCAATGTTTCTTGCATCCATTTTGTTGTAATCCTCTTCTGCTACAACATCAGCCATGAGATCAATAGCCCAGTTGAGCAAAGCTGACTCAGTTGACTTTAGCTGCTTCACAAGCTGAACAGACTCTTCTTCTGTGTTGCACTCAAGAACTTGCTCAGGGGAAAGTCCATCTAGCACTCCTGAAGGAAGCTCTCTGAACCATGCTTTGATTAGGCCTGCCAAGCAATGGACATCAATGTCATCAGGCACAAGGCCCTTATTCAACTGCTCCCTCAAATGCTCCTCTTGACTGTTCTCTGGATTTATGCGAAATATACCTTCAGCCTGAAAATTCATCCAAAAGAGACAAAATGATAGTCAATGACCCAATCTCGCAAGGTCTTTGTCAATGGTCCAAATGACAAAGCATATCATAAATTTGGTACCTACCTTTAGGCCACCCTGTGAGTACAATCGGTCTTGCATTAGCAGAAGAATAGTGGGGACACTGTTTCCTTTTGAATCATAGGAACACTGCATTGATTCTGCTGAGACGCCAAACACACTAACACTGCAAGTATTGACGGTGACAAATCACATTAGCATATGGATAAAGGTATATAATCTTGCTATATGGAGTTTATGAAAGGGAGAAAACAGACATGATTCAATAAATTCTTAAAAAAATTAATTGCAACAATTGGCTTAGCCAAAACACATAATCGACATGAACCCCAAATCAAAAAAACACTCACAAGCTGTCCCACTTTGCAATTGCACAAATCAACTGCTTCAAACTATGCCGCACAAAAATGGCTTGCTTGCATTTTACAAAGTATTGCTGTATCCCCAAAAGTCCCAGAAAAAAATAGGTTAACTTTTAAATCCCACATTACCGTTACGTATCTTTTCAGCAAATAAAGGCACAACTTAATTCGCTTTTTAATGCAACTATAGGAAAGGTAAAGCTTAATTTCCTTTTGAATGCACCTATCTAACTTTTTAGTTTTACATCCCCCTTCTTTCACTTTTCTCCCACGCAACGGACGAAAAACCTTATTGAACGATATTGACGTACATTACTCCGTCAACACACACAAGAGAAATGTAGAAGAGTTTTTGGCCATTAAACTCTCCACTTCATAAAATCCCAACACAGTAGATAATTTTCCAACTTAATCTGTCAAGTTTGCAGCTTGGTTAAATACTCCAAAGGAAAACTTCACCTCACAAAACTGTTTCCTTCAATATGAACATGATTATTTTCAGAAGAAAAAGGAAAATACTTACTCGCACAGAAGCAAACCCACCAACGATAAAATCTCTAAAAACCAAAAATGAAACAAAATCATAAACTTTGAGCGTTTTTACCAGACCTCATTTGAAAAAAATGAAGAAAGGAGTACCTAGCACTGGGAACAGGAGCGGGGACGTGAACCTCCAACTCAAGCGGAAGACCCAGAAACCCATTGAAGCGATCGAAAGTGACATGACTAACATGCTTCACGTTTGTGGGCCATCCGATCTCCATGGGGTGATGGACGGCGGAGATTACATCGTCGGGACTGTCCACACTGCACGCCACCATCGATTTCCTCAGCGCCGCCAACAGAACCGCCACAGGCGACGCCGGATTTTGCTCCTCCTCGGTGCCTCTCCGCCCCTTCCCAACGCCGCACCCGCCACCGTTGGTCACCACGACTTGCCCCGTCATCCTTATCTTCTTCCACAGAGAAAAGAAACAGACACGCTCTATCTATGGCTCTCTGGGTGCACGAGTGGTGAGAGATTTTTATTGTGTTTTGTTTGTGTTTATTGGGAGGTGGGAATGGAGACAGATTTGAAATTTGAGGATTAGTTTGGCAATGCGAGTTTTGTTGGGTTGCATTGAAGTTGTTTGCTAGTTATGTTATGATATGTATCTATGTACCTGTGTCTCTCTTGTGAACTTTGAACCTCAACGGCCACTCGTTTCAAATTTTGTTTCAGACTTTATCTTCTCTGTCCTTTTTCACCTCACTGTCCTTACACTATTTACACAACATGCCACCACACATTATTAACTGCATCTTCTCTTTAATCATTTCTTATATTACTATATTCCATCCTTAGTTAGTTCCCATTTATTATCCTTAATTATAAAATTAATACTTGTAACCTTAAATACTTATCAAAATTTGAATCAATAAATATTTTTCAAAAAAATTGAATAATGGGGTATTTGGTTCCATTATTACGCTGCAAAAAGGGACAATTTTGTTTTCTTTCGCTTTTCATTTTGTACCTGGAAACTTTAGATTAATCATGAATATAAAGATTTATGTTTCTAAAATATTTTTTAATTGTTCCTTGAAATGTTAAAAATCTTAAAACGGCACAACGGTTTAGAATATTGGAATCGTATATTCTTGTGGAAACAATTCAAGGGCAACGAAAGTTCCTGGATAAAGGAAAAGGCTTGGTTCGCAATAAAGTTTTGATTGTGAAAAAGTGTTCTTATTTGCTACTTGTGAGTGAGCTAAATAAAACAACACAACCATTTGTGAAATTAAGGCATCGAATTTAAACATCAAATCAAATCTAGAAGCTCGGTTTCATTAAATACACAAATGACTTGTTGTGATTTGATTGTTCATCAAAATGGTAAAAAATTATAAATTGTGAAGATCATTAAGGTGGTGTACTTTTTTACTTAGATGATTGATATGGTTGGTTGGCACAAGGACAATTTACCAAATTCCAATAAACCATAGAAAGACATACCCTCCTTGATAATAAAATTCGAATTTTATGGAAGACCGTTGCTAAAGAATATGATCCTTCTTTTATGAACACTTTCCTTGTTATGTAGGATATCGATCCTTTTTGCCTGATTCTAAGTACTTTAAGTAAAATGTATACGTTACAACCTTTGCATCATTCATGGAAATAAGAAAAATATTTAGGGTTGTTCATTGAACGGTTTGACAAGGGTTTCTTATATGGATTTTTCTCCTATTCAAAATATGTATTACATAAATTTTAAACTGCCTTTTTATTTTACTATTATTGTTATTTTGTGGGGTACCCTTAAGAGTGAAAATAAAAGTGGATGGGTCCTAAACAAACACGAAAAAAAAGAACATAGTCACCCCAGTGTTGGGTAATTGTGGACCCATAACAGGCCATTGAGATTCAAGATTGAACCCAGTGATAGGACACATACTAAAATACAACTCAATAGTAGCATTTGTAGGGATTCAACTCATCCATCATGTTGGAGAATGGATACCCAAAAAGGAATACCTGATTTATGGTTGCTGACATTGACTATTCATTTTATACCTATATACACCATCTAATTTTGGTCAGAGAAATCCATGATGAATTAAATAAACTTTTTTTTATATTCACCAAAAAAATATATTTTTAAATAAAAAATATTTTTTAGAGAGAAAAAAAAACTATTTTTTTTTCAGGATCAATAAACCTACTACTGACAGAATTTGCATGTATGGTAGGTCTCTTAAAATGCCTAAGTCAAATTCATACATAATTAATCAATCATTCAGGTGAGTTGTCTACAATTTGAGATTAATTTATCTAATTTTTTCGTTGTGTGTGAAATTTCGGACAAAAGTCTCGAATACTGAGAAGATTTTGTTTTTGTTAATTAAAGGATTATAGGGCCGAGGGAGCGTCACCCTCAGTTACTTGAAGGGGCCCATGGGCCATGCCCCAATTTTCTTTAAAATTCAGATTATGCTTTTACAACTACTAATCTACTTTTCTAATTTATAAATTACAAAATTGATTTTCTATTTTTAATTATCGATTTTATTCTCCCATTTCAAAATAAATATATTAGGTTTCTGAATTTTTCAAGGTCGTTAATTTTAATAATATTTTTCGAATAATAGGGCCTAAATAATCTATTTTATGTAGCTTATCTGTGTCTCTTTACAAATTTCTTGTAATAAAATTCAATATGCGGCTTTCTCTGACGAGAGAGAAAATAAATTACCTTCTAGCTTATTAATAATTATTTATAAGAGATTATTTTCTAACTGTTATTTAGTTGAAAAAAAATGTTATAATTTAAAGAAAAATTAATTATTATAATTTTTATATCTAAAAGATAATAAAAAAATGAAAAAGTATTTAAAAAGTAAATAGTAAATTTTAAATTAATCTTTTAATAAAAATTAAATACGCATACATGTTTCCACTAATTTAAATAACTTTAATTTCATTGAATTGAAATGTTAGATAAAAAAATATTTTACGGCTTTAGTTTATAGAATACTTTGTATAATTTATAAATTTAAATTGAAACTTCTTTCAAAAAAGAAAAATTGATTTTAAAACCATCAATACGATATTTTTAAAAGAATAATCAACGAGAATCTAAATTAATAAAAACTGAAACTACGGTTACTTAAAATATATTTTCTGTTTATCAAATATAATTATTACATACAAGTTACATAATTTTGTTAATTTATAATTAGTATTTTTCTAAAACTAATTTATCAGATATTATAGTTGAATAAAGTAACTTCCGATGAAAAGATTATAGGTTGTTAAATGATATAGATCAGATCCTCTTCAGGTGCCTACATCATTTAAGTCATTTTCGTATTTAAAAAAAATAACGTGTATAAATTGATATTAGTTTATACATAAAAGCTTAATTTAATTCATTTTCTTATTTATTTCACTTATAAATATTTATAAAACACAATAAATTTATAAAATTATTCATGCCGTCTACTCTAACTTGGATTTAGTTATTCAGAAAAAAAAACTTGGTTTTGAATTAATTAGAAATACTTTATATGTGGCTACACGTATAATAATAATAATGATGATAAAAAAATATGATATAAGGAATAAAAACGACCAAATTAAAACAAAAAACGGACCAAAATAAAATGAAAAAAAAAAGTTTGTTGATGAAATTATAAATTTTAAATAATTTTTAACATATCCATTATATTATTAATAAATAAGAAATTATACGATTACATTTTTTTTAGAATACAATCAATTGGCATTAAATGCCAAAAAGTGTCTATAAATTACATTACTTATTTGTTGTAATTTTTTTATCAATATAAATATTAAACCTAAAGTTATTGAAAAATACATTAAACATACAAAGTTTCATTTGTTTTATAATTAGTCGACACTTCATTACATCACTTAAATTTAACATGCATTTACTCTTAAAAATATAAGCAAAAAATTATTATTCGACATCATGAATTCAATAGTTAAATTAAAAAAAAAACATTTTTATAAAGTGTTATTGAGATATAATTTTTAAATACAGATAATACCAATTGTTCTTATCTAATTTTACATATAAAAATAAAAAGAAAAACATGAAGTCTTAAGCAAGCATGTGGCGTGGGACTGGTCATCCTATAATAGACAACAAACTTGTGAAAGAAATGTTTGTTTGTGTTGTCTGTGACATACATAACGTTGACTTCACTTGGTTACTAATTTTTTCTCATCCCTTCCAATACTTTAGTAGTTGACATTCGATCACGATAACAACCACAGCAATTTATGCAACTACCAAACTTTTATAAATTTCTTCAAACATCAATTTTCTTGTCGTTGTTGCTTGTATGACAAAACAACATGGAGCTAAATCATTCTTTTCCTAAAAAGCTCAAACTATAGTTGAATAGAGTATACACACTTTCTCTATATCATTGTTAATGACATTCTAAACAACATCTTTTAATCATATCATATATAATAACTTATTATTTTGATATGATTTTTACTTGTCCAATAAAATATCACATTAAGTATTAATAGTCAATAATTAGTAATAATAGAATTTTATTATAAGGAAAATTTTTAATATCCTATTTAAATCTAAGAAGAAAATAATAACAATATTCTTTATTAAAAATAAGAAAATTCAATTATTATACAATACACTAATAAAAAAAATTTTGGGATGATTTACAAAATAAACAGTGGACTTCTTTTATAACAAGAAAAGTTAACACTAACCTATAATTTTCTTGGTGTGAGATTTCTCTTCTCACACTTTCACGTTAAAAAAATATAAATACATCTCCTAATATCATACTAATGTCTAAACAGTGATCATTATTTGATATGAATAAAAACGAACAAAATATTATTGGTGAAATAATAATTTATTTTGTATTCATCTTTTTATTATTTTTTTAAGAAAATACATTGACCCTTAAAATTAATTTGTGTGAAACATCATATTTAAAGAGAGTCAACTTCATTAACAAGACTAATGACACCTTAATGTTATCACGAACCTTTTCTTAATGAATAGATTAGAAGATGTAGCCAAGAAAAAAAAAAGGTTATTATTCTATTTGGGGCATTGTAACTCATGTACTCGTTTGATTTTCATTTAACAAGTCAATCAAATTCTTTAACAATGTTGGATGATGGTAACTAATAACAATTGACTGATTAATTTTTAATTTTAAAATTTCGTGCTATTTTTATAACTTTAGAAAACAATTTAATCTATAAAATTACAACACATATCAGAGTAAATGAATCAATACAATGTCTTTATTCTTCTTATTTATAGTTATCTTATCTTACAGAATGTAGGAGATATATATGATGTCACATTGTATAATACATATGGTATAAGAGAATTAATAAAATTTTATTATGTTTTCAAGATTTCCACGTTTGCATGTATATATTTCCTAAAGGGTATCTTGTACATTTAATACTACACATACTCATCAAAAACTCGCTGGTAGATTGTACTTGGTCAAACCGAAAAAAAAAAAAAGTAAAAAAACTTGGTCAAACCGAAGCTAATTATGTTATGACAGTGAAGAACATATGTGCAAAGTGTTGGCAAACTGTAACCACTGTTGAATTGAACAACTTAATCAACTATTTTAACAAACTTACCAAAAAATAAAGAAAAAAATGTTAAACTCAAACTAATATTATTATAGAGTGCCATTACCGGCAAGAGAAGTTTTTTTTTTTTTTAATTTAATAACTTTATTTTAGATGATATCTTCTCAAAACCAATGGTAGGTGAGATTATATCTTAATGCAACTAGATACAAACATGCATGCGATGATTGAATTGGCAATTATTTGTATATTTGAACCTGGTTTGAAGGCACAAGTTTCCTTCTAAAAGTATTCTCTCCCACACAATTTAATATTATTAGGGTATGCAATGCTCAACTAGTTTGCTACATTAAACTGACATGGAAATGCTATAAAAGGAATCAAATGCCTTGAAGTTAAGCATTGCCTAGAAGTGCTTAGAAGTGAGAAACAGAAGGTTTCATTTAAAGATGAAGATGGGAATTTTCCTTGTAGCTTGTTTGGCAGTGTTTTGTATCTTAGGGGTTTGTGAAGGTGGCAACCTTAGAAAGAATTTCTACAGTAAAACTTGTCCTCAAGGCGAGCAGATTGTTAGCACCAAAATCCAGCAACATGTCTCTGCAAGGCCTGATTTGCCTGCCAAGTTGATCAGACTGCATTTTCATGATTGTTTTGTCAGGGTAAATATTCATAGTTCTACCTCTTTATCATTATTAATTACACCTTATGTGCATCATTTCAAATTTACATGAAACAATGCTAAGTTCCATGCAACGTATATTTTCGAGCTACACACTGATTCACATGACATGATTGTAAACAACATTTCAGGGTTGTGATGGTTCGGTTTTGCTGGACTCCACTGCCACCAACACAGCAGAGAAGGAATCTATTCCCAATTTATCTTTGTCTGGCTTTGATGTCATTGATGACATAAAAGAAGCATTGGAGGCAGAATGTCCTGGAATTGTATCTTGTGCTGATATACTTGCATTGGCAGCTAGGGATGCTGTTTCTGTCCAAGTATGCTATAAAGCTAACCATTTTACTACATAATTTGCTTATGCTTACATGCAATCTTAGGATATGCTTATAACTGGTTGATAATTTTTGTAGTTCAACAAGCCTATGTGGGAAGTTCTTACTGGTAGAAGAGATGGTAGAGTATCCATTAGTGGTGAAGCCTTAGCCAATCTGCCAGCTCCATTTTTCAACATCACCCAGCTCAGACAAAGCTTTACTAGTAAAAAGCTTACTGTGCATGACCTGGTTGTGTTATCAGGTACATTTTATTTCTTATAAACTTCTGTTAAATGTACAGAAGACTAAGATAAAAACCAAGACAAAATGGATCACCCAAATCATCACAATAAACTATTATGAAAAACCAAATTAACATTTTTGTCCATGTGTTTAGGAGCACACACAATTGGGGTTGGTCATTGCAACTTATTCAGTAACAGGCTTTTCAACTTCACCGGAAAAGGTGATCAAGATCCTTCTCTGAATCCTACTTATGCAAATTTTTTGAAGACAAAATGTCAAGGTCTCAGTGACACCACTACAACAGTAGAGATGGATCCTAACAGCTCAAACACCTTTGACAATGACTATTATTCTATCCTTCTCCGGAACAAGGGTCTATTCCAATCAGATGCTGCCCTTTTAACAGCCAAGGTATCAAGAAACATTGTCAAAGAATTGATGAAACAAGACAAGTTCTTCACAGAGTTCGGACAGTCAATGAAGAGAATGGGAGCCATTGAGGTCCTCACAGACTCTGCAGGGGAAATTAGGAGAAAGTGCTCTGTTGTCAACTCCTAATGAAGATTTGTTTAGTGGTTTAAATTTGTTGTGTTTCTATTTCTACAATTTTTTTTGTCACAATTTCATGTGGTTGCCAAAACCGTATGTTCCTAAATTTGTTCTGTGCGAGTTAAAAACAATAAACAAATGTCATGTTGTCACCTTTTCTTCATTTGTATGTAGTCTCATAATATTTATCAAGAAAAACAATACCGAAATAACTAAATTTTTAAAAAATAACTATTTAGATAATTCATGTGTAATAATAATTTTTATTATTTTATTATTATGAGTAGATTACAAGGAATTATTTGTCAAGTATCATTATTCATTACCTACTTATTAATATTTTTTTATAGAGTGACATTATTAATACAATGAAAGAGAGTGTACAGTTTTTTATACCTCTTCTCTATCAATTTTTTTTTCTTTTCTTCTATATCGTGTTTATCCCGTTTTAATTCACAAGAGTTACGTATTATTGATGTAAAAAATAAATGAGTATTTTTAGGGTTGTACATATCAGCCCAACTTTGGTACAATCTAAACAAAATTTAACGGGTCACTTATATTTTAAAAATAGACTAAAATCTAACGTAATCTAACCTTTTGGTAGGATAACATACTAACGATATTTTACTTAATTAAAAATAATTTTATTTATTTATATAATTTTTAAAAATTTTGTTTGAAAAGTTAATACGTTATTTGTTAATTTATTCAATTAATTTATAATCTATTTATACAAAATAAAATCATAAAATATCATTATAAAAAAATTCTTTTATAAAATTATAAAATATCTATTTCTTTTATATTTATAATTAATAATAAAAAAAAACAAATAATATTAAATAAGATATGATGTCTTAAATGATTGATAACTGTAATGATAATATACAAATGTGACAATAAAAATAAATTAGATGACCAAAATAAATAAATTCTATGTTTAGAGTTTATTATTAATTTTTAAATTATATATATATATATATATATATATGTATGTATATATAATAAAATATATTATTAAATTAAGTTATTATATGTATATTTTTTTAATAAAATAATATTATTTTTATTTTATTTTAAAAATAATTATTATTTTATAAAACAAGTCAGTCCATAAGTTTATGAGTTAGTCTGATCTAAGTTCATTTAGGTCATGATTTAAAGAGGTTAAACCAAAATTGACCTAATTCTATTTAGAAGATAAATTTTTTGGTGTAATCTAATCTATTTTTCAGACTTTATAGAGTAAACCTATTTTAAGGGTATGTTGATGTGAGAAACAAAATCAACAATGAACATTAAATATCACTTTTTTTTTTTACAAAATTATTACTTCATAAAAATAATTTTTATTTTATAAATATTGCATTATAAAAAATACACACTTGAATGTTATTTTATATTAATTAATACATTAAAATATAATGAAATAATTTTAATATGAATAATTAAACTATTTTCCATATAAAAAAAATTGTACATTTGAATAAATAAAAATACTAATAATTCTGAATTGAATTCCTAAACCATCATATATTTGCTATGTTATATTTGACACATACATGAAATTAACTTGTTGAAGTTTTTCAAATCCTCTGCATTTGTTTACAATGCTTTATGTTGTTTATGTATATTTAATTTATAAAACTATGTGTAACATGATTAAATCATGTTAGATACGAGAGCTTGCTCCATCAAAACTATCAAGATAAAACCCAAAAAAAAAAAAGTATTTCAAAAGAGTTAATAACTTAAAGAGAATAGTGTTCACCCGAAAAAAAATTGGTAGAAAACTAGAGTGAGGGTTTATGATAAGAAAAAGTCTCAAAAAGGTTGACTTCAGAAGCTTATCGGAGCGTGTTGACATCTTATACCTGTTAGCGAAAATTGGTCTAAAAATAAATATAAAGAGAAAGTGGTACACTAAATCATACCATTGCACACGAAATATTATAAAGACACAATATTTTAAGTTGTAATTAAGGTTTGTTAGACTAACTAACTTAATTGAAACAATTATTATTACATTATTGTTAAATTATTATTTAACACAACCTTCTAATTCAGCAATCAATTTCACGTTTAAGTCTTATCTCAATTCTTCAAATTATCTGATTGCTTAAAGGCCTAATCATAATATCCATCAATTGCTCATTTGTGTAACAATGTTCAAGCTTTAGTTTTTTCTTCTTTATTTCATCTCTAGTGAAATTAAATCCCAAACCATTATGTTTGTTTATCCCATGATGAATTGAATTTTTTGTTAAATTGATTGTTGACCTATTGTCGATCTTTAACGATATAGTATTTTATGGTCTTCCAATGACTCAATTTACCAAACTCTCCATCCACATTGCTTGACAAGTTGTATAAGCAGTAACCATGTATTTAGCTTCGTAAGAGAAAAGTGTCACTACAGGTTGTAACTTTGAGCACCATGAAATCACTGACTTTCCTAATAGGATTACATAGGTTGATGTGCTTCTGAACCCAGATTTATCACCAGTCCAATCAGAATCGAAATATCCAATTAATTATTCTTCATTCTAATATATAACATTTGATAATAGAATACCAAAATCAATCATCTCTTTAATATACCTTGAAACTTTCTTAGTTGCAGCAAGATGATAAGCTTTGAGTTTGTCCATGAATATTTTTAGTAACCCAACCGACCTACTACAACATAAGTACCTTAGGCAACCAACCATTTGTTTATAAATAGTAACATTTATAGGCTTCTTATCTTTATTCTTATCAAGCTTCAGATTTTCTTTAACAAGTATAATTGCAGCATTACACTCATTCATTCTAAATTTCTTGGCTACATATTTGACATATTTACTTTGGTAAATCATAATACCTTCACCGCCTTTGATAAACTCCATTCCCAAAAAATATGATAGATTCCCTAAATCGATCATCTCAAACTGATTTTTCATCCTCATTTTAAAACTCTCCATCAAATTAATTCTACTCCCAATAATTAACATATAAACAAACAACCAACACATCGTCACCTTTGATCTTTGAGAAAATCTCATACTCGATCTCACTTCAAAAAACCTTGTTGTCGAAAACAACCATCGATTTTAGTATTCCAAGCTCTTTAAGCCTATTTTAGACCATATTGTGTTTTCTTCAATCTCAGAACATTCTGATAGTCTCCAGTGATCATAAACCCTTTTGATTATAAACTTCTTCCTCCAGTTCACCATTTAAAAATGTAGATTTTACATCCATTTGATGTATTTGTCACCCTTTATAGCTAGTGAGAATTACCATTGTTCTTATCGTCTTCATCCTAGCAACGGATGCATACAATTTTTTGTAGTATAATCCTTCTCTCTATAGAAAACCTTTCACCACAAGTCGGGCTTTATATCTTGTAACTGTTTCTTCAGATTTTAATTTTGTCTTGTACAACCATTTTACTCTAATTGACCTTTGATTCTCTAGGAGATCAATTAATTCCTATATTTTATTCATCTCGATTGCCAACATTTCTATTTCATGGCTTCGATCCACTTGAGATCATCGATCGCTTCTTCAAAGGAAATTGGTTCAGTCTCTATGTCAACATACAAGGCTAAATGTGCAAGATCATTTTCGTCATTCGTTTCTCCAATCATTTGTCTAGTTGTTGTAATAAAATCATCAATATTGATTACATAATCATCAAATATAGTCGGTGTCTTAATCGATCTAATTGGTCGATTTTTCCTTCCTTTTATTTCATAAACTGGTCGATTTCTTCTTCCTCTTTCGATTTTGGGAAACGATCGATTTTCTCCTCATTTGATACTAGAAATCGATCGATCTTTACCTTTGATTTGTGTATCACCTAAGTTATCAAAGCTAACACTTTGATTTTCCACCATCAAACACCATTTCCAAAAATCTTTCTCATGTACAACAACATCTTTACTGATGATAATCTTCTTCTTAATAGGATCATACAACTAATACACATCAGTTAAATGTTAACTATCCTACCAGAATTAAATTCTGACTTCTGTCATCGAGCTTCTTCCTTCTCTCATCTAGAACATATCTCTAAGCAATTGAGCAAAATATTCTCAAGTGTTTTATATTTGACTTTCTCTCAGACCATACTTCTTCTGTAGTTTTCTTGTTGACTCTCTTTGTTGGACATTGATTCAAAATATATACAACTATCAATATCTTTTCTCCCCAAAATGAATGTGGAAAGCCTTTGATCTTCAACATACTTCTGATCATATTTAAAATCGTTTGATTTCTTCTTTTCGCAACTTCATTGTATTGTGGTATGTATAGGGATATTGTCTCATGCATAATACTTTTTTTTCTTGCAAAATGATGTAAATTCACTATTGTTGTACTCACCATATCTGTTCGATCTCAATAGTTTAATAGTTCGATCACTTTGTTTCTCAACCATCAAATTACAATCGACGAAGCGACTAAACACCTCTGACTTTTTTTCAAGCAAGTACACTCACATCTTATTGTGATAGTCATTGATGAATGTTACAAAATACTTGTTACCACCTAATGAAGAAACATTGAAAGGTTCACACACATTGGTGTAGATAGCTTCCAACACATCATTGCTTCTGACTTGTTTCCTTGTCATACAACCTTCACATATGTCTTTACTTTTTTTTACTCAAGACAATCAATTGTCATCCGAGACTACTATTGCAAAATACAAGTTATTCGATATTGAAATACCGACTCGAAAAACTTTATTCTTACTTAGAAGTGCCTTCAAAATCGATGTCTCATTCGTATCAAGGATTCTTAACACTTACTCGCTCAATCTTCAATCGATCAAATACCCTTTATGAAGTAGTTGTCCGATAATAAGCAAATTGTGCTTTATGGTTAGAACATAAAGCACATCCGAAATTATTGCATATTTGTTATATTTTCTTCCAATCATGATTCTACCTTTTTCTTCACAATTCATTATTGAGTTATCTACAAATTTTGCCATTGATCCAACACTCTCATCAAGATCGATGAACCTACTCCTTTGAAATGACATGTGATTCGAACAACTAGTATTCAAATACCAATATTCACCAAAAGTTTTTACTGGTTTCGTCGTGGTCATCATTAACATCACTTTATCTTCCATGTCTTTATTTTGTGCGACATTTGATTCTTTTTCTTTGCTCCAACAATCAACAACATAATAGTCATACTTTTAATAGTTGAAACACTATACATTCTTCTTACTTGCACCAGAGTCAAATCGATCATCTCTCCATTTTGAATTTTTGTTATTGTCATCTCTCAATTGTGAAAAGCTCTATTGTTACCCTTTTAAATCTTATCCGTCATTTTTTTCTATCTCTTTCTCTTCCTGGATTTCTCTTGTTCATTTTTCCTTTATTACTTCATTCTTTTGTTTCGTCAACAACACCTATTCCGTGTTGAACATCTCTTCTGTCATATAATTGTTGTTTATGAGTCTTCAATGATCCATGTAATTCATTCATCTTCAACAAATCGAGATCTTTCGACTTTTTTATAACAACTAAAATTATATCAAATCTTGCATCAAGGGTCCTTAACATTTTTTCTACTACTGTTCGTTCTTTCAAGCTTTTACCATATGACTTCATCGAGTTTGTAATCGACAACAATCTTGAAAAATATTATTGTATGGTTTCTTGTGTCTTTATCTGCAACAATCACTACTGATGATGCAAGGTTTAAAATCACATCATTTTCAACCTTTTTACTCCTACGTAACTTTGCGACAATATGTCCTAGTATTCTTTCACCGTGTTTGCCAACGAGATATTCTCAAAATTATTTTCATGGGCACACTGAAAAATGTAAAACAAAGTTTTACAATCACCTTTCTTCGCATCACGAAACATAACATATTATGCCTACGTGGGATTATCTGATAACCCATCATATTTATTTATAATCACGTTTATTTACATTGTCTGATAACAAAGCTTTATAATCATATTTATTTGTATCCCGAAACAGAATATTGTGCCTTTGTGACATTCTTGGAGGTTGACGTGTTGTCATTGAACACATTTCATTCACCATTTTTTTTTCTTCCTAGATCTTAAAACTCTTAATACCACTATTTACGAAAAGTGGTTTAAAAACAAATATTAAGATAAAGTAACACACTAAATGTAAATTATATTTAATATAAAAACTGAATTATACAATTACATTAAAGATTATTATAAAATCACAATATTTAAAATAATAACTAAAAACTAACTAAAATAACTAAAATAATCCCTACATCATTACATAAAATTACATAATAATTCCTACTAATATATTATCATTCTATTATCATTCTATATATTTTTTGTTAAATAGTATATTTTTTCAAAACAGATCTATAAATTGACTTTTGCATAGAGATTATATAAATACAATTTTATATTAATATAACAACATTTGATAATTCATTTATTAGATCAAAATCAAACGTAATATATATTTATATTTATATATATATATATATATATATATATTAAATTATCAAATATTTAATCTTTTTCTATTCATTTTGTTATTTGTGAAAGATTCACCTATCGTCTTCCATTCTCACCGTCTTAAATTTATTTTATGAATTTTGTAAAAAAAAAAAATCCTAGTATCTTCGTTTTCATAATGTTCAAATCCGAAATGAGTATTCCGGTATTTTTGAATTTTTGTTTAAAGGTATAATTTGAAAGATTTTTAGTTTATTTTGAATAGTATTTTTTGAAAAATATAAATAAAATAGTTAACATTCCACAACGGGAAGATAAAAGATATGGAAATCAATTGTGATCGAAAAAGCAAAAGGCATGAAATAATATGAATAGGCCCGACCTAGGCCCAAGAAGAGAAGAGTGGTATATATAACATAATCTCAACAAATGAAACGGCACCACCTTCACTTTCTTACTCTGTCAGTGACATCATCACCCTTCGCTTCCCTTCTACCCTCCACGATCAAACTTCTTTTCCTTCCCTGCACCTTTTCTACTTCCACAAGCCATCACTCATTCTACATTCCACATTCCATTCCTCGATTCCCACTCTGATAATCTTCTATATAACCCTAATTCCACATTCATAGACAAATCCCAAACATAGACAACCCTCAATTTTCCACGATGATGCTCAGACTTCGAAGCCGCGACGGCGTGGAGCGAGTCATCGTCGAAAACCCGCACACCACCACAGTGTCCGAGCTCAAACGGATCATCGAAGCCCAATTGAGAATTCCGGTTCACAACCAAACCCTCTCGACCAACCAGAACCTTCTATTAGCGAAATCGCTTGAAGATCTCCATCGATTCACGGATATGTCCAACCCCGATGCCACTCTGGCTTCTCTGAACCTCGTTCACGGCTCCATCGTCTTTTTGACCTACGAAGGTGAGCGACACGTACCCGGCCCCGCCTTCAACCCCGCGGGCTCTTTTGGCCGCAAGATGACCATGGACGACCTCATCGCCAAGCAGATGCGCGTCACGCGCCAGGAGAATCCGCACTGCGAGCTCGTCTCCTTCGACCGCGACTGCGCCAACGCGTTCCAGCACTATGTGAACGACACGCTCGCGTTCGCTGTCAAGCGCGGCGGCTTCATGTACGGCACCGTTTCCGAGGAGGGGAAGGTCGAGGTGGACTTCATCTACGAACCGCCGCAGCAGGGTTCGGAGGAGAATCTCGTCTTTTTCAGGGACCCCGAAGAGGAGAAACTCGTGGAGGCTATTGCGGCGGGGTTGGGGATGAGGAGGGTTGGGTTCATTTTCACGCAGACGATAAGCCAGGACAAGAAGGATTATACTTTGTCGAATAGGGAGGTGCTTCAAGCTGCGGAGTACCATGCTGAGAGTGGGTTGAAGGAATGGGTTACTGCGGTTGTTAAGCTTGAGGTGAATGAGGATATGAGTGCGGATGTGCATTTTGAAGCGTTTCAGATTAGTGATGTGTGCGTGAGGTTGTTCAAGGAAGGTTGGTTTCAGACTGAGATAAAGGAGGACGATGATCCCAAGTTATCGAAGATGAAGAAGGATGTGGTTGTTGGGGTTAAGGATACTAAAGAGGTTGATAATGATTTCTTCTTGGTCGTCGTCAAAATCTCTGATCATCAGGTATGGCTCCTTGTTTATAATCTTTTTGCTTGCTTGCTCCACGTCAATGTGATGTTGATTGTCTCTTAGAAATTACCATGTTTGCTGAATTATTGTGCACGTCTCTTGTACTTCTGTTCTGTTCTGCCCCTAGGCTTTATTTTAGTTCGGTTCCGCAAAGAGTTATTCGCCGTGTCTACCATTTTTTTTTTCTTTTAATCTATCTGTTAAAGATTAATTGTTTTCCTCAAAACCATTAGGACAAACATCAAATTAGATTGTTTTCATTAGGCGTATAAAGTTTTAATCTTTAAACTGTAGAGTAGTGCGCTTGATGCTGCCACAATTGGGGTGCAAAAGCCCCAAAATATTTTAAATTGGAAAATTTTGGATGGATGTGGAGGGGTGATTGGTTGAAAGGAAATAATTCCATATTCTTCTAGTTTCTTAAGGAGCATTGGGGGTTCAATTCAAATCCATAAAGTTAGACGGTTTAATATTGATTTTAACAAATTCACGTTGATATTGTCTTTTGGTGATACAAAGTGGCTCACTCAGCTCTGTTGTTGAGTATGTCTCTTTTCATGGATGAATTAGTTGGACTTTATGTAGGGTATGAATTCCTGGTAGTAAAGGAAGAGAATATCTGTATCCGCATAAACTAATTTCCACCCTTTTGTTTTGTTTCAATGGATACTAGTAAAATCAAGAACACCGATTCCATGGTGATTGATAATTTGAAATAGTATGGCAACGGATGTTCCCTGTGTTCTTTTGACTGAAAAATTTGATCAACAGGGGCTGGTATAATGTAAAATAGTGTTTCTTTATTCATGTCATTTAATTGTTCTAGCCTATAACCACTTTGGGGGAATCAAGAAATATTTCCACCTGTATCACTCTTCCTGCATACTAGTTAATTCCCTTGGCATGTTTTATCTGGAAGGTGGACATTTTGGTTTAAGGAGTCGTCTACCTCTTCTTTCTTAAAGTCTTCCGATGAGAAGAAAAAGAAAGTTTAAATGTTCAAATAACAGTCAATAGTTAAATAGGAGTCGATATTTTTTTATCCCAAAAACTTGGAATTACTACTTGTTGTGATAAAACGAATACAGAATTAAGATAACTTAAGATGATAAATGAGTATGGAAGGATCATATGACATTTCTAAGTTGAAAATTCATTGTAACTGAATAATAACAGTCCATAGTTGTCAATTGCTATTACAGAGGCTTTCTTTGTTAAATAGTTGTCCTGTGCTTATTGGGTATAGGTTAGCAGGTGATGTTTGATGACCCAACTTATTTTTAGTCATTTTTCTGCTTGATAGGAGAAGATGGACCATATTTAATTTTAAGAAAAGAAGCTTTCATAAAATCAATTTGTTTAATAAAAAAAAAATTAAACAGAAGTAGCTTCTAAAACAGATGATTATACGAGTTTTTATAGGAGTTAGTATTAGTAGTTTTTGACTTGTACCCCACCTTTTCCTTGTTGATTCAAATTTCAAGATCCAGTATCTCATTATCCAAGTCATTTTAACTTAACAGTAACTTTTAATATATAAGAAAAATTATAACAATACTAGACAACTCTAAATTTAAAGTTAAAAAAGTTAAGCTCTAAAAAGACAGCCAAACACTCGATCTCTTTAATCGGGGTTAGCCAAACTTATGTGCTGCAAATTGATGATTATTAACTATATTTTCTTTTCAAATGTGTCAACACAAGTTTTTTAATATTTTTATTTTGAACCAAGTATATGTTAGTTTAAAATTTCAGTCTTCATAAAACTTTTTATATTCTTTCAAGTCCTCTAGTTTGATTTGTAAATTTATAGCTGTCAAAACTTACTAGGATACTGTCACCAAAATGCAGGGTCCTCTTTCATCATCATTTCCCATTGAGAACCGGAACAGGGACACTCAAATGACTATGAAGGCTTTGAAGAATCATCTGGACAGGACAAAAAATCTTCCATTTGTGAAGCGAATTTCTGATTTTCATCTTCTTCTTGTATTGGCAAGGGTTTTAGACCTGAATGCTGATGTTCCTGCATTGACGGAATGTGTGCAGACACAGACTTCTATACCAGAAGGTTACCAGATCCTTATTGAGTCTATGGCAAACACAGCTTGATGTTGTATGCAGGTGGTCTGGGCTCATTTAGAATCGTGTCAAGAGAATTATGCAGCAATCTACATTCAGGTCCTTTGTAGCAACACGGTGCATATTGCTCCATTGCACTCCCAGAATGTTTATGTTGGAGATTTGTACATTGCTTCTTCATATAGCATTGCCGCCGCGGAAAATCACGGATCTCTCGTTCTACTGAAAACGAGCCTATGTGGTTTAGTTGTTTCAATATTTAAATTAATTAGAGATAACTCTTACCAGTAGTCACTATTTTAAGTGCGCGATAATGTTTCAAATTATATAGTATCAAGACGATGTTTTAACTCTGTGTTCAAGAGGTGTTTAACGGATGTCGAACTTGTCTATTAACAACACTTTTATTATTACCTCTCCACTACTCCCTCATCGAATTCTTTAAAACCATACGTGGGTAATACTCTATTTGTTTACATTCTTTAAAAGCGAATCTTATGTGCAATTGTTTACATATTTACCATAACAAAACATGGAACAGTAAAAATGAAAGAAAAAAATGCAAAAAAAGTACCAAAAAAAGTTTTTAAAAAATGGAAATTGTTTGAATTAAAAGAAAAAATTAAAATGAGTTTTAATAAATTTGTAAGTACCTTTTAATTATTTTTATTATTTTAATGTAATTTTTAAAAATATTTGTATGTTGATTTTTCGTTTTTTATTTTCAATTTCATTATCTGGTCTCTCATGTCTTGAGTCCTCGCAAACAAAACATAATTTTTCTGTTGTCTTTGCAATTTGAAGTAGAACTCAACCAATTTCTCTAATCCTTAATATTTATGCTTTTGTCCTAAATGTTTGAACAAAACCAAATGCCAATAAAAACTCCTTGCTTCGCATTTATATACTCTTCATGTTTTTTCATTTACAACAAACAAGCTTTAAAGGAGATACAACAATAAAAAATAAATAAATATTAAAACATGAAAAACAAAAGTTATAACCATTCTTCCAGGTTATAACAAACTATTCATAGATATTATGAATGAGTTTAATCAATGGGCTATGAATGAGTTTAATCAATGGGTGGAAGAAGAATGGAAACCAAAACAACTAATAAATATGATATTAGGAACACCACAAGTGGCACAAGATGAACTAAGGAGTAAAATGAAAAAAAAGAAAAAAGAAGAAGGAGAGTAAGAAATGAGACATCAAATGATGAAAATCATATTGGCGGCATTAGAATAATAGGAAATTTTAAATTATTGTCGGTAAATGTGATGATCATTTTAATTCCCCCACATTATATATATTCAAAATAGAAAAATGTAATAACAATTAAAATCCCAATTACTATATTAGACAAGAACAAATTTTATTTTGTTAATTGAGATTCTAATACTTTATTAAATCTTAATTATATATTAGATTTATGTGAGGGTCAATTGGAATCGGGATATAAAAAGATGGATTTCCTTTAGCTTGATTTGGATCATCTAATGAAATAATAAAAAAGAAAAACTATTAAATAAGTGAAAAGCGGATAATAATATAAAAAATTATAAACCTACACAACATAAAAATTATTGAATTTACAATTCAATCTAATAACATGAACTACCTCAATTTCTCTTTTCATTCACCAAAAAAATCTCAATTATTAATTTAGTTTCGTTGGGTTGATCGAACCTTCAATCGAACCCGTGTCTGCCCATAGTTCGGTTCGGTTCGATTTTACGCACCATGTGGTTTTGGGTGGGTGTGAATTTGGATGGTAAATAGTTGCGAATTGGCGGGAGATTTCTTAACTATTATTTGCAGTGCCAAAACCCTTCTTCCTCCTAGTTGCTCCTACTTCTTCTATTCACACTTAAGTGTGAAATCGCCTATTCGCTTTGTTGCAGAAGCATTGTTAGCATATGGAAGATCCAGCTCCACCCTCCGAAGCATCCAATCGCCCCCCTCGTGTCAGCTTCATTTCTCAGTAGCACTGTTACTTATCCTTCTATTTTCTTCTCAATTGCGCAGTGATTTGACCTAATTTTGTGTCGCTTCTTTCGAATTAAGCAGAAGAGGGGCAGACCTCCCAAACACCTGCCTAAGGAGCACGACGTCGACGCCGAGAACCGCGACAGGACCACCGAGCATGCGGACCGAGAGAGTTCGCCCGACGAATTCGACGAGGCACGCGCCAAATCCAAGCGAAGTCGCGCTTCCGAAGGAACCTCGAGCGTCGCGTACAAACCCTCTGACCAAACCCTAATTGGTAAACTGAACACTCTCTGCTACTTTTCTTACTGCTCAAATATCTAGGGTTCAGATTTTTGACTTAAACAGTTGATATTTGTACCGTTTTGTTGATGCTGTGATTCGCCAAATCTTGCTTAGTTTTTTCTGTTATGAATAGTTTTTTATGCATTGTGTCTTTGCTTAGGTATGTCGTTTTGATTGGCATTGTAGATTTTGCTGTGTAACTGGACCGGGGCTAATTTATTGTATGATTTTCTGTAGAGGTGATAAAAGGAAATGGCAAGTTTATTCCTCATGCGGTCAAATTCTGGGTTGAGCGCTATGAAAAGGATCCGAAACCTGCAATGGTTGATCTGTTGACAATGCTGTTTGAGGTAATATGAAATTCTCAACCAGTTTCAAAGTGTAAACTACCACTAGCATTAGACATTATAGTTTCATACGTATAAATAAAAGGAGAAAGTAGATTTGGAAAAAATAATTGGAAACTTCATTATCACCAATATGATGCACAGAATGACACGTGTATCAGATATCCAATACAGCAATATGCTTATTCTAGAAATAACAGGATTGACTACATGTAAGATACATGTTTAAATGTTTAAAAATGTATATGAATTCATAAAAAATAATAAATATGTAACTGCAATTATTTAAATTTAAGTTAAAATCACAATTGATAGACGTTGTTGAAATAATAAATTACAAAATCAGTGTCTAAATAAAATACTTTATATAAAGATCTCCTTTTTTTGTATATGAAGAAAAAAATATTTATATATTTCTATATTACACATAGCTGTATGTTTTTGTAGTTTTATTGAATATAAATGTTTTAAAAGCTTGAACACTTTACTATTACATATAGGTGAAGTGATGTATCTAACAGTATCAATATCAGATGCGTGAAACAAATAAAAGTATTGGTGTTACATAGGTTTAGATATTTCATCAATAAATATAGGTGAAGCATCGTTTAAGTACCAGTGGAGTATCATATAATATCCAAAATGGACATGTATAGTGAAGCAAATTGAAATATAAGTGCTTCATGGTCATCAATGCTCATAAATACCCATAGTCATCAATGTTCGCAAATATCTTTCTTGATTTATAACAACGTGCTTACTGATAGTAAAGTGAAATTTAAATGGTGCAGGCATGTGGAGCCAAGTATTGCGATAAAAGTGATCTCGTGGATGAGACTGATGTTGATGAAGTTGTAATTGCTCTAGTCAACTGTGCTAAAAGGGTATACAAATTGGTTCCTTTTATTTTTGTTTCCTGTTTATCAATTTTTTATAAATAAACTAATTTGTTAGTAGTGTTAATAGTAATAGTATACAATCACCAAGTCTTTGGCATCCTCTATTTTGATATAATGGTCAAATTATGAGTTAGACGTGCACATTTATCCTCTCTTTTTTTACTTTTGACATTTTAGGGTGCAGTTGAAGATTATCAAAATTCCAAAAAAAAAGAAATTAAAAACTTCAAGGAGAATCTAGAGTCATTCTGGGATAATTTGGTTCGTGAATGTCAGCATGGCCCATTGTTTGATCAAGTTTTATTTGATAAGTGCATGGACTATATCATTGCACTCTCATGGTTAGTATGTCTGCTTCAAATTTCTGAACATATGAAAGTATATATACAATGACTCATCTGCTGCTGTACATATGTAGCACCCCTCCAAGAGTTTACCGTCAAGTTGCATCATTGATGGGTCTTAGGCTGGTCTCATCATACATAACTATTGCTAATATGCTTGGTGCTCAAAGAGAGACTACTCGTAGACAGTTGGATGCTGAGAAAAAGAAAAGAACTGAAGGGCCTCGAGTGGAGTCACTAAATAAAAGATTTTCTGATACTCATGAGAGAATCACATTGTTGGAGGAGATGATGCGGAAGATATTTACTGGGTACGAGTTTGCTAAACTAAGAAACTACTTTTAGTTGAAGGAAAAGAAAGCAACTTACCACTAGTATTGAATTTGTTATAGCTGTAGATCTAACCTGCCTATTTCATGCTTTTTTGAAGGTTATTTGTGCACCGCTACAGAGACATTGACCCAAATATTAGGATGTCATGCATTGAATCATTGGGGGCATGGATCCTTTCATACCCGTCACTTTTTCTGCAAGATTTGTATTTGAAATATCTTGGATGGACACTAAATGACAAAGTAACGAACATATGTTTATGTTTTTATCATGCAACTTTTAATAGTTCATTTACTGAGCCACTTAATGCCTCAATTTAACTTTTTCTCCCACCCTCCAAATTATAGAATGCCGGTGTAAGAAAGTCTTCTATAAATGCCTTGCAAAATCTTTATGAGGTGGATGACAATGTACCAACCCTTGGTTTATTTACTGAAAGATTTTCTGGCCGGATGATTGAGCTTGCTGATGACATTGATGTTTCTGTGGCTGTTCATGCCATAGGTCTTGTTAAGCAACTACTAAGGTCTGAATTTCAAACCTTCTCTTTATTTTATTTTTTATATATATATATATATATTAACTGTTTACTGGTGAGTTTTTATGCAATAGATTGTAAATTGATAATTGAATTCTTGGTTCACTGCAGACATCAACTTATTCCTGAAGACGACTTGGGTCCTTTGTATGATTTGTTGATTGATGATCCCCCGGAAATCAGGCATGCCATAGGAGCATTAGTGTATGATCACTTGATTGCTCAAAAATTTAATACCTTCCAATCAGGATCAAAAGGTAAGTCAATCCATGTAATTTTCACTTAATATTTG